TTCTCCCATGTCCCTCGGGAGCCATCGGCCCCATTATTTTCTCCTTGGGATTGGTTATCCTGCCTATCTTATATGGATAGACATAAGAAAAAGAAAAGAGGCCTACAAACAGTTCCAGGTCTGTCTGCTGATCATTCTGAATGTTTTCCAATCGGATCTGGTAAAGTGCCAAGCCCTGCCCACCGATTCCTAGGGTGCCACACCTCGAGGGCACTACACCGGCATGAAGCAGTGAACTAACAGTAAGGTCTGTGGGGCCAGCCCCAGTCCCAGCTACATAGACCCCCTCTCCCAGAAGAATGCACTGCAGAGGGCAGGAGTGAAGATACAGCCTGGGGAGAGTGGCGGGTCTGCCAGACCACACTGAAGCAAACAAAGTGGAAGAGTGAGTGAGCAAGCAAGAGAGACAGAAAGAGAGAGAGAGAGAACTGCATCCTGGCCCAACAAGCCTCAATGATGACATTCCTTATCGAAGAAGCTAATGCAGAGAGAGAACTGTGGGACTGGCCCTACCATGAGATACGATGCCCCCTCACTGACCCATAGTGCTACAGGGGACAGCAATGGAGACATTGTGGGAACTGTGCCCGGTCTGACCCCACCCCACCCCCCCAATGGAGCGAAACAGGAAGGGAGTCCAACAGAGCAGCGAGGGGAGCAAAGCGATAAAGTCCCCAAGAAATCCTGAAAATAGACTTTGGAGATGGCTGTCTTATACACAGGGGAACAGCAATCAAAATTGTTTCACACACCCTATTTGCACGTCCCATTCAATCATTTAGTGGAGTTTCAAACACATAGATAGAATAGTCATATTTAAGCACTTTTACCTTATCACAGATGCCTGATATATGTCTCAAATTTTGTATACTAATACAGAACTCTTGATTCACCATCCTTCTCCAGGGGCAAATATTCTTTCTCTCAGTCTTTCACAACTTAGTAAGTGGCACTAGCATCTAACCCATTGTTACAGTAAAGTCTAAAGATTATCTTCAATTCTTCAGATGTGTCCTCCCCCATTGAATCAGCCATGAAATTTTAAGAGTAACACCTTTCAATATATAACTCATAGTTATTTTTCATAATTTAAATTGCTACCATACTATGTGTGCCATCATCATCTCTCAATAATACTACTGCAACAGTTGTCTAGTACTCTATTTCTAAGTCACTCCCCAGCCCATCAGTTAGAATGATCTTTTAAGAATATGCCAATTTATGGCATTCCAGGATGCACACCTTCCTGAAATGATGGCTGAAGAAAAATGTGAACATAAGCAAAGGTGGTGAAGAAAGCTGATGGTGCCTGGCTATCATAAGATATAGTGTCCGGGGTCTTAAAGGCTTGAAGACAAACAAGCGGCCATCT